GTAACTTCTCATAAGAGTGAGATAGGGGTTAAATGTGGTCACGTAATGAACCTCTCACTCTCATGAGACCAGAGAGCTTTGACTGGCACTTGGCAGTTGCCAATCAGCAGGTCTTCCATGTACAGGCACCTTATCAAGCGAGTGTTACTTTTTCTCTTAATTTGGGCGCGCTCAGCACGCGAAGTCTCATCCGTACTGCAGACGAGAATGTCCTACTTCCTGCTTCGTGATGTACTACCAGGTACTACACTGTGACGTTAGACAACAGTGATGTCGGTAGCCAGGAAACCCAGCTGCATGACTCCGAGTTCTAGGCTTCATATTACACTGTCGGTATATGACTCTATGTAGGGTCCGTTTCTCGGGCTTATTATAACCACACTTATTTAATTATGTTGCAGGTAGCTTCGATTTAACTTTTGCGCCACCTAGCGGATCCCGCTGAACTAAAGTGAAAAAATAGCGTATTTTTGCAAAAATTTGAGCTCATTTAATGCTATTGTTATTCACTTTTCATGATAATTCATGATAAAAACTATACTCAAACCATCTAGGAAGTATCAAGAATCAGTATGCAAAATTTCAGCAAGATCGGTTGAGTAGTTTTCGCGGTTAGCGATTACAACGGTTTTAGCGACTTTGCTTTATATATTAGTAAAATTAGTATGATAAGATAATATAAGACAAGAAGTAAGATTAGTAAGATAAGATTTGAAGGATAATTGGTTTTGTATTAAAATATTGTAAAGTAGATTTTACTTGATGATGGTAGAAGTAATTTTATAATCAAAATAGCAGAGGGGATGGATACGTAAAGAAAATATAGCAACGCAAACATTTGGTAGCTTAAACTCGAATTGTAATAAATACTACACGATTAGATAATTTTCATACAAACACCTAAAGATAGAAAGAACAAAAATTTACTTCAAAGTGTTGTTGCATAATGAAACTGTAATTTCGTACATGAAGGTGTTGCACAGTGAGTATGAAATTTGGTAATTTAAATCTTTTGCTCTACATGTGTTACTTAGTCTAGAGAAAAAAAATAGTTGTGAACATATGTACGGGTTTTCCCATGAATGTCCACGGCCAATCAAGGTATATAGACAAAAATTTTTTTTTATTGTATGTGTTTTTGTCTCCTAAACCCAAAAAGTAAAGGCATTTGTTAATTCATTATTATTCACAACTTTTTACAACATAACTTAAATAACTAATTGTGTCTTGAAAAAAAATTTGTTTTTGGGCTCTCTTGCTAACTTGAAAGAAAAAAGGTATCTTGTTGAATTTTTATAAGCCCCTCAATTTTGTGAACTTTCAAAACTTTTAACTCCAAAACTAGGGGGCTTACGAAAATTAAACAAGAATTTTTTTTAATGTGTATAAGAATTTTATGAAAATTTTTTTAAAACGATCAATTAGTTTTTTGGGTTTTGTCAAACAAAACTGTTAAAAATTATCAACAACTTTTTTTTTCAAAAAGACACTTTTTTTTCTCATGTCCAGAGCATAAAAATACATGAAACAAAAAAAAGGGTTTTCCATTGACCTGCGATTACACATAACTCTTTTCAATAATAACCCAAAAAAACTCTACAAATAAAAATAAATACAGTATTCGATGGTCAAATACATGGGGTAACGACAACATACACACACGAGTATGAGGTACGAATGTACATTTACAAAAATAACTTTACCGTTTTGCTGGAACTAGTGAGATCAAAGATAAGTTTTGAGAGAGACACCGACGCCAAAGGGCTCTTGCTAAGTGTCGACCAACACGTGCGGTACATTTGGGCGACCGTTTTCCGACTCCTTGTGTTATGCATGAAGGTTCAAAGTTTTTTTTTAAACTATCATAAAAATACAAATTTCGTGGATCTAAAGTACTTTTGGTTTTTAAATCATTGATGATTTGAATCAAAGTAGTTTTTTTTTTATACGCGTTGTAGTTATTACATACTTAGTTTTTTGCAGTGAATTAACATTAATGGCTTCTAGTATGAAAACTCTATTATATCTACCAATAATTGTAATTTTTTATCATTTTCCTAATATTTTATAATATTTTTATCATAATCCTTAAAATCCATTACTTTAGAATGATTATTTTTAAATTTAAGTATAAATATTTTTTTTAATACTTTATCTTCGAATTTTTTTCTCATCTTATTTAAAGCGTTGAGTATTTGTGACGAAAAAATTTTTTTTTGTTATACTTACAACACCGAACTTTTAACTCAACTTTTTTTAGCAAAAGTAGTATATTATATTGTACACTCTGAAAATAAAAATTATTTAAGTAAATGAATTAACTATTGTACTTGAATCTCATTGTACGATTTTTTTTTTTTTAATTGTGTGTAGTACTTGAAGTGGTAATAACAACGAATTATCTAAAAAAAAGTAATTCATTGCAATATCAAAGAAAAAGAAAATTGTACATCAAAGTGTTTATGAATGTATAATTGTGACGAAGTGTCATTCTTTTCATAAAAAATTTTATCATTTCCATGCGATAAAACATTTTATTGAATCCAACAATTCTTATTCCTTTTTATTACCTATTTATTAATAGATGGAAAATCAATTTTGAATTAAAAAAATGTATCCATTAAAGGTCTGTAACGATCGTCTTAACGATATAGACTGAGCCTGATGAGGTTGGCGTTAAGACCAACGAAACGTTGCTCAAACTAACACCTGATTTTTTTGGAGTTTTCATTTGTACTCCCAAAATTAGCTCTTACTGATCGTGATGCTGAGGTACTGATCCTCAAGTCATCATGGAAAAAACGGAGAGCAGAACGACATGTTCAACAAACAACATAATGTATCCATTAAAATTGACTTACATTTCATATAAAGAAAAATCAGATGTTCCCTTGAAAGAGCAGGTGGTAGCTGTTTTTCTGGCGACAATTTCCTGAAACTGATGATAAAAATATTTTATCCGAATGAAATAGCGATGTGACGTGGTACACTTGGGTATAAGTACAGAGACGATAGTCACTTTGTGATTCTGTCATACTTTCATACATTATCTTTTTTTTTTTTTTTTTCGATGTCTGCCTTCGTGACCTCTTAACTTATTTTAGCTGTTTTATAATAAAGCACGTTTTAGTAGACGGAAGATTCTAATTTTTTCAAAGAAAATATAATTTTTTTTACGAATTACATCGTTCTAATAGCTACAGGCTCTCAAGGGAATGGTTCAAATGATTTCACAAGTATATAATTAGCTATAATTAGTATAATTTCACATGTAAATAATTGAAATAATAATAATAATAATATTAATAATAAT